TAATTAAAACTTGATAGTTTAATATGGAGTTTGAGAGAAAAACTCACAGACAGTGCATTGAGAAAGTCTGCTTTGTTGCTTGTGTATCTCCAAGAAAGGAGAAAAAAGGGTTAGGATTTTATCAATTTTTTTAAAAAGGTAAATATATAATAATAAGAGCCATAAACCTTTGGAAAAGGGAAGGAAAGTGGCTTACGCTTGGTGGAAAGGAAAACAGGGTTTGGCTGCTGGCCCACGTGATAAAATAAACATATTAATTAATATAGATTATTCAATAACAGCAATACATATTACATTTTAAAAGAAAGAAAAAAAGTTGAGTGGGGGCCAGTGACTGCACTGGTCCCTACGTGCCTCCGCCCCTGTATACATATGTATTATGATCATTTTGTATGCAAATATGAATCTTATTTTCTTTTGCAATGCAGAACATTTGTACAAGAAGATCTTACACTTCATAAGCTCTATACGAGGCAAAGTAGCTGACTCTCTAATCCAACTTACATAATTCATTACATTTATCAAACTATACTTCATTAAATTATGAATTTATCGAGTTTTTCACTTGTGTACTGCAGAAATGGTACTCAATACGGATGGCTATGTGCTCACCCCACAAGTGCTACAAGTCAATCCCCCTTTATCTGCTTCCATTTTACTGTGTAATCTCTTACCTAGGTAATTTGAACTACTTGAATTTAGTTACTATGTAGCCTTTTTCAGTTTTAGCTACTGATAACTGAAAAATAGAGTGTTAGCTATTTGGACCACATTTATTGAAAATCTCTCTAATAGAAGTGGGCCTTGTCATTGTATTTGGGACCCACCTGTATTAAAAAGGTTGTCAGCACGGTGGTCAATAAATATGGTACAAAATACAAATAGCATTATTGAATTTTTTTTAAAAAATTTCTAACATGAGAAAGAAAGGAGGAAGGAGAAAATGGAATGAAATGTTGCACACGTGTCGTAGGTTTATCCGGCGTGCGGACAGGCCCCATATGTGACTTTGGATGTTCCGGCGTATGGGGAGGTTTTGGTGAGTTGTGACTTAAAAGAAAAGGGTTTTAGGAAAGAACTACGTGTGGCTTGATCCCTCAGTAAGGGTACGTAGGCAGCCTGAAGTTACTAGGTGCAGCCGTGGGTTAATCCTCATTTAGGTTGTGTTAGTGAGGTTGGTTTGGACCTCGTTGTTGGTCCTGAAACTTGGTTGAATTGAGGCTTGTTCAGTGGACTAAGTGAGTGTGATAGTGGTTTAGTTGAGTTTGAAATCTTTTTTGGATTTGTTGCACGATTTAGGCTAAGGCTCTAAACTACTTGCGTTTGTGTTAGGAGGTTAAAACCTCATATGTTAGAGATTTGGAAAGTTAGTTTATGTTACGTGAAGGCCGGAGGCCGATTATTTGGAATTGCATGAAATTATATTGTGCATGCTGCCGATTGGGTGATAAAAATGTGTTTTATGCATGTGGAAATTTTGGAGAATGTTCAATTTACAGGGGAGACTCTGCCGAAATTTCGGCAGAAAGTCTCGTACCCCTACGCCTTTTTGAAAAAGGAGGTTACAGTCTAGTGAGTGGGCCCGACATCGGGTGATGTAGGGGTTTCCATAGGATTCGTCTCGGGTTCCGGGAAATTCGGGACGGGTCCTGTCATTCTAAATCAGCCAATAAACATTAGCCAAACATGCTTCCTGCAGGTTAGAATTTTCTTGACCTTGGATCAGCTCAAAGTTTGCTATTACAATCAGTTAGCCAAACATGCTTCCTGCAGGTTAAAAAAATTCAGTTCAAATCTCACATGTCTTCATCTAATGATTCTTATCTATCTTCTCTCTACTTCAACATCAGTGAAACTTTCAAGAAATTTTTTAGCATTATGAAGCAAAATTTGTTGGAAATTGGTATGAATTGAGTGGGGAACTGGCTCAATATAAGTTCGTCGCTATGTCTTCGATGAATAAAGGACTTCAACTATTTCTATAGTGCAAGAAAGTAACAAGATGAACTGAAAGTAGTATAGAAAACCAGCTCGAATCACTAATATAGAGCAAATAGTGACATTGTTATGGAAAATGTAAAGTAATTGAATGAATTATGGTTGAGGAATTTTCTTCTCTAACCGAATAATTGCAACAAAACTTAAGGAATCATAGTTGGGGAATGATACATCAACTGGAAATCTTACTAACGCGTGGTTTGCAAAACGATCTACAATGTAATCTGAGTGGCTTCAAGAAGGCTTGAAATCTCGCAGGAAACTCTCTGGGAAATCTCCAAAATCTATGAAATCTGAAATGATATTTGTTTAGAAATTCAAATTCAAACACTTAGCATATACTACAATTTGACTCATGACAAATTCAAACCCAAACACTTAGCATATACTACGATATTCAACACCACATGTTATTTAATATTACAGTGCATGATCTCATATCAAATCATGGTGACTGGTAGAACTCTTCAGGTACGCAAATGTCCAGATGCCTTGCAGACAGTATAGTTGTATTCATTCAATTCGAAGTAGAGCAGAAAGGATTGGCTGGTATGGTTAGATTGTCGCCTTCTCTTTCTAACATTTGAACTACAACTTTCATTGGAGGACGATCTATTGGGTGCCATTGGACGCACCATAGACCCACAATGGCAAGTTTCTTTGCAATTTTAGCATCTCCTTCATCCTCAATATGGATCCTTAGGTCGTCCCCTTGTTCCAAAAGGTTATAAATCCATTCCGGGAAGTAGACTTGGCTGGTGGAGTCCTCCATGACCTTAAAGTATTTTCTGCCATCAACCATTTCCAGCAACAACGTCCCGAAACTATAGACATCTGACTTGTAGGACACGCTACCGAAATTCCTAGAGAACACTTCGGGTGCAATGTAGCCCATGGTTCCCCTGATGGTTGTCATGGATATTGCACTTTGATCCCTTGTGCATAACTTGGCTAGACCAAAATCGGAAACTTTCGGAGTGAAATTCTGGTCTAGCAAAATGTTATGGGGTTTGATGTCGAAATGGAGGATTCGGTGGTCACACCCTTGGTGAAGATACTCAATGCCTTTGGCTATACCTAAAGCAATATCTTGCAACTTATCCCAACCAAGGAAAGAACTTTTATTATCTGCTGATGATAAAAAGTTTTGTAATGAGCCATTTGGTAAGAATTCATACACAAGAGCTCGTATAAACCCATCAGCACAAAAGCCAACCAAGCGAACCACATTGACATGGTGCACGCGACCCATTGTTCCCATTTCATTTGTAAAATGGTCTCCATTATTTTCATTTGAATTGTTGAGGATTTTCACAGCAACAAGCAATTCAGAGGAAAGCATTCCTTTAAAAACTGTTCCATAGGCCCCTTGCCCCAACTTGTCCTTGAATTGATTTGTTATCCTCTTAATATCAGCATAGGAATATCTGCTTGGCTTCTGAGCTATGTAATCTTCTAAAAATCTTTCAATCCTCAACTGATTTCTTTTGTCTATTTTCTTGGAGCTGTAGGCTTGGTAGATGATGAGAGTCCCCGCTGCAATAAGAGCCACAGAAACTGTGCAAACTGCAGATAGAGATGACAAAAATTATCCTAATTACATGTGATTCAGATTTATAGTCCAGCAGTTAATGCAAGTGCTTTAATTTATGGACAACTCACCTGATATCTTTATGCGAGTCCCTCTACGGCTACTATCTGTAAAAGTTGTTATTTAAGTTAATAAAGTACTTCTGCTATCAAACCATATAATTATGAGTCCTGACTAATCGGATCGAATGACTGAAAATAAATAATATTTGCTTTCAAAGTACTGCTGCAACAAAGCCAAGTTTAGTTAAATGATACCTTCAGGGAAATCTAAACATTCGCTTTCTGCAGTCTGAACATGTGCAAGACTATATTCACTAATCTTTGATCTACATGCCTTGCCCATCTCTTCGCAATGTCGACATGATGGTTTGGACCAGTGCAACTTCCTAATTTTGTTCATTCCAAAGTTTGATGATATGTCTGGAATTGATGTATAGTCATGCAGTTTGGTACAAGACTCTAGGGGCAGCCTATCAACAGAACATTGAGTGTTGACAGCATATATACCGTTTTCAGGATTGTCAAAGTCGGAAGGGCTCAATTGCATCATACAAAAGCTTGTGTATGCATGGCTTTCCCTTGGATATGAACAGCGAAATAGGGTATAATTATAGTAATTGTGTCCGGGTACAAATTGTAAGGGAGAAGAAGATAAACTGAAGTTAAAAATATTTCCCGGTGGGATATCATTGTGGTAATCCATTTCAATCTCCTGAGATGTGTACTTAATCTTTTCAACGAAGAGGTTGTTAGATGGAGATGACATCTCGAGCAGAGTCTGGCTGTCTTTAGTGCATGATAGATCAAAGCCATGGTAACCGCAATGGATTGACTGCTTACCTTTAAGTCGAAATGGGAATCGGATGGCTGGGCCGTCCGGTTTACATCTTGCTTCTCTGCAAATTTCAAGGCCTACTCCGCCATGGACTGCATAGACATCTACTACTATGAGCAACCAGCATAAGAAATTGATCAGAAGCATTATTCTAACAAAAAAAATGACTTGCAGCATTCCGGTCTCTTGCTAAGTTATTAATTGATTGTATACGACAGATATGGATATATAAGATTTAGCTTAATATATAACGACAGATTGAATTGATGTGTGGACTGGTTCAAATGCATTTACTAAATTATTTTTATAACGACGGATAGATGATTTGAACACTAAAAACCAACAAAAATGATAACCACTAAACCAACAAGGGTTTAGTATTTAATTTCCCTAAGCATTAATATTTAATTTTTTCTGTTTGGTGACTTTGCTTTTGGTTGACTGAGCCGCTTATCGCTTGCCTTCCAAATGGCCATAGCCAGAACCTAAGTTGTCTAATTAATCTGTGCTCTTCCATAATTTTGATAAATTCCTATTGGATTGGATATGCCGCTTACCTTCCTCCTAATATTCTCTCACTATGTCTAGAGGAAGTCTTCTATATGCTGCACACATAGCCCTTCTCCTTCTCCTTGTTCCTTGTTCCTTCTGTTTCCAAACATCCACCCTTTGTGGCAATATCAACATAACGTATCCATTTCAATTAAAGGGAAGCCTTCAAAATTGTGGCTACATGCACAACAAATTTGAGCTGTATTGTGGTTGGGAAAATGTTACCGTAATGTGCTTGTATTCGGGAAGGTATTACGTAAAGGCGATCAATTACAGTGACTGGACAATCCGAGTTGTGGATGCTGGTGTTCAGAAGAAAGACAACTACTTCTCCAACCCAAATTACTCTTTAACCTCCTACAACCTTAGTGATCATGGAGATCCTTTTTCATCTTTTTCTTATAATAGCGACAAAGATATTCAAGAACTCCGACTGTATAGTCTAGCGATACGTGAAGTGCCTATAATTTTTATCAGCTGTGCATATCCAATGCATTCTCCTCGCCTTATTGATACAGCTCCATGCATCAACAATTCTGCCAATTCTTCTTTGTCCAGTACTTTAGGAATGTTTTCTTATGTCATGATTGGCAACATAAGTTCATTCGATTTGGGGGAGTCCTGCAGAATAACACAAATGGTTGTGGTGTCACCTTCAACATCTACAGATCTGCACCGGAACTTGTCCTGTGAAGGTATATATAATGAAATAGCGAGCGGCTTTGAGCTCTCATGGTTTAACGGTGCATGTGACTTATGTAGAATGGGTAAGGAGAACTGCACGCTCGACAACGTGAGTAAAATCAAGTGCCCTGCAATAACCAACAAAGGTACTATAGTGCATCTGTTAATGATTTCACTTATTCAATAATGCTAGCGAGAGTCAACATATTTGTTCTCTCTCCTACAGATGGTGTCAATATTACGCAGCGGTGTTAAATATCTTCTTCACCACCCACCAAGCCTTATTTATTCATTTGACTACTGTTTTTCTTTTCTTTTTTTGTTTTTGTTTTTGTTTTTTTTGGGTGTGGAGAAAGGAGCGATAGTATTATTGATTGATAGAGGGAATAAGTAACAGTACCAAAAAAATCGGACCATGTAATCAGGGATTAGGCGAGTTTATCTACACATACGTACAGGCTCGGTCATCAGACTAACTGAGTAGTCTTCACCACTAATAGAGTACCCCATGTCCCCTAAGAGTATGCCCGTAGAAAAATTACATGTTACATTCCTCAAATAAGAGATCACTAATAAAGTCTGGAGGATCCTTGAACCAAGTAATGGTAGAACCCACCCATTTAACTTTAATTCTTCATATTTGTTTAATTTCCTTAGTTGTCAATTTCTCCCCTGATTGTATTTTTAACTTTTATAGGTTACCATTAATTCTTAGTTTCATTGTCTTGTATATCGAGCTTTGCCCATTTAAATAGACACAGAATCATTACCGAATTATTTCACAATAACATGGTATCAGAGCATGCTCTCTATCCTTGGTTAATCCCGTGAGAAAGATAAGAATGGGATGGATATGAAACTTTACACATTGACAAGATTTTGTTGTCAAATAACATTTCATACTGTTCTCATGTGTGGAAAGGACACATAGGCTTTTGCTTCCATATATGTACAGATTGATATATTACAGTCATCTACTACAGATATATTATACATCTATGACATGCTGATTTCGAATATATACTTATGTATTATGATGTTTTTATATGCAAAATATGAATCTTATTTTCTTTTGCAATGCAGAACATTTGTACAAGAAGATCTTACAGTTAATACCCTCTATACCAGGCAAAGTAGCTGACTCTCTAATCCAACATATAATTCAAAGTAGCATTACTTTTATCAAAGTATACTTAATTGAATTATGAATTTATGATTGAGTTTTTCACTTGTGTTGCAGCATGGGTATTCCAGTTGTATTTCTTTGCGCTCACCAACAAGTGCAACAGGAATGTTGCCCTTCCTTGGCTTCCATTAACCTGTGTAATCTCTTACCTAGGTAATGTGAACTACTTGAAATCAGTTACTGTGTAGCAATTTGCAGTTTTAGCTAAAGAGATAGAGAGACAAAATGAGAAAGAAAGGAGGAGAGGGAGAAAATGGAATGAAATGTTGCACAAAATGAAAACTAAGTAAAAGTAACAACTAAAAACTAAACACGAGAAGGCTACCAGACGCCCGGGCCTTTCACTAATGAAAAATGTTGTACTAAGGAAAATGTTGATAGTATTGTAGCAATCAATTAATGTCTCTATTGAGTCCACTTTTTGTGAACTGCGCAGGAATATTGCACACAGTCTTATATGTGTTTGGCTTTCCCTGTGCAATTGCATTCATAATATACAAATGGAAAAGGAGGCACTTGTCAATGCATGACAATATAGAAGACTTTTTGCAGAACAATAAGCTCATGCCAGTAAGGTACTCTTACTCAAACATAAAAAAGATGGCCAAAGGTTTCAAGGAAAAATTGGGTGAAGGAGGCTATGGCTCTGTATACAAGGCAAAGCTTCGTAGCGGTCGCCTTGTTGCCATCAAGATGTTGGGTAAGTCCAAAGCTAATGGGCAAGACTTCATCAATGAAGTTGCTACCATTGGAAGGATTCACCATGTTAACGTGGTGCGGCTCATTGGCTTCTGTGTTGAGGGTTCAACGCGTGCTCTCATATACGACTTCATGCCTAATGGATCTCTTGATAAATACTTATTTTCTCAACAGGGAGTTATCTCTTTGAATTGTGAGAAAATGTTTGAAATTGCTCTTGGAGTGGCTCGTGGTATTGAATATTTGCACAGAGGATGTGACATGCAAATTCTGCACTTTGACATCAAACCTCATAACATTCTTCTTGACGAGAATTTTCTTCCCAAGGTGTCTGATTTCGGATTAGCAAGGCTATGCCCGCTCGATAATAGCATTGTATCTTTAACAGCAGCAAGAGGAACTATCGGATACATAGCACCAGAGTTATTCTATAAAAACATTGGAGGTATTTCATACAAAGCTGATGTCTATAGTTTCGGAATGCTGTTGATGGAAATGGCTGGCAGAAGAAAGAATTTAAATGCAACCATAGAGAAGTCAAGCCAAATATACTTTCCAACATGGGTTTTTGACCAATTGAGTGATGGAAAGGACATAAAAGTTGAAGACGCCACAGAGGAGGAAGAGAAGATCATAAAGAAGATGATCATTGTGGCATTGTGGTGCATACAAATGAAGCCTAGTGACCGTCCGTCTATGAATAAAGCAGTCGAGATGCTTGAAGGAGAAATTGAGTGCCTTGAAATGCCTCCAAAGCCTTTTTTGTATCCACAACAAATGCCAGAAGTGGCTCCTGGGGACAATTCAAGTACCACAAGTGCATCAACAGTAACAAATTCTACAGAAATCGTTTTGATTGCTGATGTGAATCAAACAATGTAATATATAGATCTTGATGTGCAAGGGAGATTACGTAATGAATAAGCAGAATTAGACTTCTGTTTGCTGCCTTTGTTTACTACATTTGGAAGGAAATAAATTGTAGGATTTTCAGAAACGCTTCTTGCTCCCTTGCTGTAACACTCAAATTGTAGGATTTTCAGTAATTGCAGAATTCTATTAGGTACGCTGTGCTCTATAGAGTGTTTAAAACCTCACCTGCTAACTCCTATCTTGTTGCAGATTGGAAGATCCTTATGAGCTAATTGCTATTAGGGTTTGTTGTATTGTTAGCTTGGGATTGTCTTCTATTGGTAGGATTTGCCCTCCTTTTTGTTAATACATTCATTTAATTACAAAAAGAATAAATAAAAAAACAAGTCCATTTATTCTGTCAAGTGCTTTCACAATTCTACACTCAAAGAAAACACTTTGAAGCTAGAATTACATTTAGATATGTGCAAGTAGCAGTTTCCCCAAGATATTGCAAATGGGGCAGCAGGTCAAAACCACTAACCCTCAAGGCTCAAGCTAAGCTGATTCACAATGGAATTCATACAAATATTGTCTCACCCCCTACACCACTAAAGTTTGTCCACCTTCCCATCAAGCTAATTTGAACTACAATAGTTTATGTATAATCTAAAATGAAGAAGTTACAAGTTCCTCGAACCAAGTAATGGTAGAACCCACCCATTTGACTTTAATTCTTCATATTTGGTTAATTTCCTCAGTTGTCAATTTCTTCCTTGATTGTATTTTTCGCACAACAACTTTACACATTGACAAGATTTTGTTGTCAAATAACATTTCATCTGTTCTCATGTGTGGAAAGGACACATAGGCTTTTTCTTCCATCTGTGTACAGATTGATATATTACAGTCATCTACGAAGTACAGTTATGATGTTTGCAACATATGTTTCAAGAATACTGTTTAGTAAAAACCAAAAGGTCAAAAAAAATAGAGTGTAGCCGCGCGGCTATACTGTAATTAAAGAAAATTAAAAAAAAAAACTTACCTTACAGCCAAGCATATGAACATAAAATTCGGCCACTATATAATATTTCAATATATATTATTTTTATTTAATAATATGTAAAAATTGTGTGCATAATATGTGCTTATTTTGTGTGTATTGTTGACAATTTTGTAAAAACACGTGTATCCTTTCATAAACTAATATATAATAAAAATAATAATCTCAAAATTCAATTTCCAAAACAAATCTTTTCCATATAACATAAATATATATAATAAAATAACACCCATACTTTCTTTTTGCAAGCCATATTAAAACTATAATTAAGAAAAACACCAAAACTAAATAAGCCCATTCGATTTTATTAATATTCAAAACACTATTCATATACTTAGGAAAGACAAAAGTAATTTACTTATCATAACAAAATGGATAATAACTTTAATTATGGTTCTCTAATATAATTTGTAATATATATTTTTCTAGTTATGATCTTTGGTTGTTGGGATTTGCATAATTATTATATTATGTATGAATAATTAAATATTGGATATGGATTTGGTAGTAAAATTCATTACCTTACTTCTGCTCTCCTCTCTCGCTCTCTATCACTGATATGGATTTGGTATACTGTAAGACTTTCGTCTCTGTCTTATCCTTTTTGGTTTACAAAGTCTTTCTTGCATTTGACAATAATTGACTATTTTTCTTACGATTGTTATCCTTGAACTGTTCTATACTATTTGATCAGCTTCACATAGCTCTCTTTGTGCTACATAATTATTCCAGCTATTCATATGATTATTCTCTAACCAAATTGTACAATTTAAATCAGTGAATAAATTCATCTGCATTTTGAAAAAATATCCTACTGCTGCTTTTTTCTCTTGTACACATCACCCACTCTTCTGTCATTACCCTCAATCATATTGTTCATGAAGGCAGTGAATGCTCCCTCAAATTTGGGTTGTCAGTGACTCATTGTACATTTTATTTAATTATAACTTCCCCCAAGTTGTGCAGTTGATTCCTTCTTTTTCTTGCTCTGATTACGTGCTATTGCATATAGCATGCATACAACCCAGATGAGGATTATGCAGAGGTGGAGTCCAGATTGCGTGCGCATTTGGAATCTTTCCTAGAAACTGCAAGATCATTCAATACATTAAGGTTTGACCTGCTCTTTCCTTTCGTATACACTGCCTTTTGACAATCTGCTATCCCTTCTTTTCTATTCTTTTCCTGTTTGCTGTAGCAAATTAAAAGATTTTGGCATACTTGTTACTGATAATGTATATCTAAAGAGGAAAAGTGATGCGCTTGTGATACATGAACTTGTCTTAAAAGAAAAAGAAAAAGAATGGTATCTTTGCCTTCACCATAATGATTGAAATTTATGCTTTTGGGTGGATTCCTTTTTCACATATCCGTCTTGGTTGGCAAATGAGATAGTTTTTATGCTTCTGTTCCAGCTCCTTGCTAATTGAAAATTCACTTTTTAGTTACTACAGTTGGATTGTTGACATTTATTTGACGCGCATGAGTCCGTAATACCTTTTTGTTAGTTGTTTTGGTGTGTGCCAATCGCTTGAGCCGTTGGATGTGAAATTTTACTGTTGAGATTGCCTAAAATGAATCTGAGTCGTTGATTATCCAATATGTTGAAATATTTCAACCAAAAAAAGAAAAAAAAAAACATAACAAAACACACCAAAAATAGCCGTTGCTTTTCAATAAACTAGAGGGAATCTTCATTCCCACTTGCCAGCAACACAGCCCACGTGATGGGCTTCTCACATCATGTAATAAAAAAATATTTATTAAAGCAGAATTGGCCCCCACAGATTTATCAGTCCAGGCAGAATTCTTGGTGGAATTCCAGTCCAATTTTGAGGCATCTCACATTTTCACCTCCCAAAATACATGGGTTGAAGATGGTTTTTGGAGGCTAAACTCAAAATTTGAGTTTCCACCCCAAGGGTTGGAGATGGTCTTAGAGGCATACAAGATGCTTTTAAAGGTATCCCATTGCTGATTAAATTATTTATCTGTTCGTTTTCATAGTACATTATGAGGATTATTAGACTAATACTGATGCGTAGTTAACTTATTTACCTGTTGTGTTGGAGGAGGAAAAAGTGAAGGAAAGTGGGGGTGGGTTGAAAATAATTTTCTTTTCGCCCCACACCTCACTATGTTGAGGGTTTAATCCAATTCCTTAAGGATAAGGAAGGGAAGGAGAGAACAGCTACTAAGAGTTATAAGAGCCATAGCACAGAAAGCTAAAAGGAGCCGGGGTCTACTACTTTGAGTCTTTGCGAGTTCATCCCAAACAAAGCGAACCCCTTCCGGGTCTTGGTCGGGAAGATGCGGATAAAACGCCAATAGCCTGATGTTAGCTTCTACGGAATAAGCCTTAAAGAAGAGAGCTATCAACGCTTATAATAATAAACTAAACATTTCATAAGAAAATATAAATTATTTGAATCTCAAAGGTATAGGTGAAATTTTGAACAGTCATTTCAATCTTTTTCCAATTCTAAGAAAGATAAATCCCGAAAAATCCGTCAATAAATGACGAACCCCATTATACAGATGATAGGACAGGGCTAAAGCAGTAATCTGAAGTAGGAGGGAGGAAATAGAAAAGAAAGTGGGCGAGGTACATTTCTCTTGAGCTGGAAAAAGCATTCCCCTCGAGGCAGGGACAGATTTATGAATTTAAAATGGCATGAGCTGGATTTATCTTACAATAAAATTTGACGGCACAAGTGAATTTAATTAATAATAAAAAATAATACACCTAGTCAGTGCTAAAATGTGATAAGTCTCATAAATGAAAATTAGGCGTGGCAATAGATAGAGAGAAAATGGGAATGAAGAGGCCATTTTATTTCTGAGTTTAGATCGAGAGAAATGGGAAGGAAGAAAATTGGCAGAGCTAGGCTTTTGTCTTTTGAGTTGTGATTTTTTTTCTCCCCTTATTTCCTTTTATAAACATCCATTATGACACCCGTTTCTGATTTTTCCTGCGTTCCTCAAGCTCCACACCCGTAATTTCCGCTCCCTATTTTCCACACTGAGCTCCACGACAATGTCTTAATAATAATAATTTTTGAATACCTGTTGGGTGACCCTTGCCTAACCCCAAAATCCCTAATATTGGATTATCACGACCATGAAAATAGTCATTGAAGTTCACCTTACTGAAGAGTCCCCACCCAAATCACATTAGGGATAGCTAGTTGCCCTAGCTCGGATAAAAATGTAAACGTATCAAATCCAAATAGGCCGTAAGTGGAACTGTGATCATAGTATAACAGCCCATAAACCCAATTCTGGCCCTTAGTCCCAGGACCAACGTTTGGAGGAACACAAAGTGGGTGATCATCAGGCATGGGCCGGGACGTGGTTGATCTCCTGATGTTGAAGTTAGGCATTGACAATTCGAAGCACGACTTGCATCTTTGAGTGCTTCTATAGTGAGTGGAAAGTTATAAGGGGTTTTTTTTTAGGGGTATGTAAGAGCCGTTGGATTTCATCCAACGGTGAGTTTTTAAAAGAGGGTGTATGTAGAACCGGGTTGAAATCTGACCCGTTTGGAAACCCAACTTCAGCTGAAGATTTTTCCCTCTCTGTGAAAAACTCAAGAACACAATCCTCTCTTTTTTAATGTAATGCAAATCCACAATTAGAAAGATCCAAAGCTCCCAAACTCTATAATCGCTCCATTGTCATCAGCTCCTTGGGAGGCCTGCGATCTATGGTATCCTCGGTATGATGATTAATGGCTTTTACCTAGCTATTGCCCTGTTTTGATTCTATGATTGAAGTGAAAACCCCTTCTCTTTTTCGTTCAGCAGAAGAGATTCCAGATGAAAGCAAAGTAGCATATCTCTTTTTCGTGCTGCTGCAGTTGTTCCTGGATTTTGGTAGAGATGGAGTCTCCACTACAAAAGAATCCTCTCTAATGTCCACCACATTCTTTGAAGCTGACTGAGTTCGGAACTCCCGATTGACTTTGAGAGGTAAGTTCACTCTTGCTGGATTGATTTTGTTGGGTTTGATTTGTTTTTTGTGAGGGTGAGAAATTTGTCATTTGTGGCATCAATAATGCGTCATTTGCTCTGCTATCAATAATGCGTCATTTGACTTTGAGAGGTAAGTTCACTCTTGCTGGATTGATTTTGTTGGGTTTGATTTGTTTTTTGTGAGGGTGAGAAATTTGTCATTTGTGGCATCAATAATGCGTCATTTGCTCTGCTATCAATAATGCGTCATTTGACTTTGAGAGGTAAGTTCACTCTTGCTGGATTGATTTTGTTGGGTTTGATTTGTTTTTTGTGAGGGTGAGAAATTTGTCATTTGTGGCATCAATAATGCGTCATTTGCTCTGCTATCAATAATGCGTCATTTCCTTATGAATATTCAATATACTTAGTTGATTATTTTTTTTT